CTCTCTCTCTCTCTCTCTTCTTCTTCTTCTGGTATCCCTATAATGCGAATATTGTTCCACTTGGATTGGTCACACAGCTCTCTCAATATTCTTTCATTCTTAGAGATCCTCTTTTCTCTCTGTGCCTCAGCTCCTTTGTATTCCTCTTCTCTAGTTTCTATTTCATTTATTGTCTCCTCCACCATATCCAACCTGCTTTTAATACCCTCCATCATGCTCTTCAATGATTGGATCTCTGACCTGAATTCATTCCTGAGTTCTTGGATGTCTTTCCTCACCTCCTTTAGGATGTTGATGATTTTTATTTTGAACTCCCTTTCAGGAAGAGTCATGAGGTCCATATCATTTAAATCTTTCTTGGGAGTTGTGTTAATAATTTTACTCTGGACAAGGTTCCTTTGGCATTTCATGTTTGTATATGGCACCCTCTCGTGTCCAGAAGCTCTATTCTGGAGCTGCTCAGCCCCTGAAGCAATGTTGGGGGTCGCAGGGGAGCAGTACTGGTGCCTGGGGGGAGGAAAGAGCTGTTCCCCACCTCCCAGCTGCTGTGCCTGTCTCCACTGCCTGAGCCAGTGGGCTGGGCACACAGGTATAAGTTTTTGTCCCAGAGCAGCCAGATATGGATCCCTGCTTTCCACAAGCAGCCAGAATCACAGTCTCCCCAGGAACTCTGGCTGTATTAACTTTCCAGCCTGGTAGTCATGCAAGTCTCACAAAAGCATCATGAAATGTAGGTTTGTGCTCCCAGTGCAGGACCCCGGAGCTTGGTATTCAGCAGTCCCAGGTCTTCCACTCCATCCCTGCTCCATTTCTCTTCCTCCCACTGGTGAGCTGGGGTAGGCAAAGGGCTCGGGTCCTGCCGGGTCATGGCTCTGGTACATTACGCCATTCAGTGAGGTCTGCTCTTTTCTCCAGGTGTATGCAGTCTGACACCATCCTCTTTCCTGTTGCTCTCCCAGGATTAGTTGTGACATTAAATTTTCTAATTGTATCCAGTTTTAGGAGGAAGCCTCTGTCTCTCCTCTCATGCTGCCATCTTTAATCCCATCCTCATGTCCAGTCAAAAAAAAATGTGAATTTTAATTCTAATGTAAAAAAATTTAGTTTATGTAATCTAGAGCCTGTACTTTGATAATGATAACGAAGAATATCTTAAGTATTCTAAGATGAAAAGGAAATATAGCAAAAACTTTACATGTGAGTGTATATGCATGTATATTTAACATAAAGAAAATACTTTGTGGTTTCCAAAACAGAAACTAAAAATAAAAAATTTGTTACTTAAACGTAGAAGATTATGTCAATTTTTTTGTTGTTGGTCGCCTAAAGGCTAGCAAGTTTATATATTTTTATCATTCACAGAAAATGTTAGTGCACAAATGATTGTGAATCATGTTCAAAACAAAATATCAAACTTTTCCCCATCAAAAAAGTTTACACGTATGATAAACAAAATGAGTTCCCACATATGATGATGACAGAAGTGAGCTGTGCATGGTATGGCATAAGTCAGGGTACAACTAACCCCAAAGAGCTATCAACAGCATGTCAGATGGAGCAGCACATGTCCACCTCCCCGAGGGCCGATCCAATATGGTGGCTAGTAGATGGGAAAGCCTAACTGAAGACATTCCGCACAGGTGAAATGTGAAGAAATACCGGCAGTATAGGCAACTTTTTGAAGAATATGGTTTTGAAGAGAAGCAAAGAAATATGGAAGTAACATGAGGAAGATATAAGGTTAGAAAGTTTTAATTCTTTTCCCAATATGGGGACTGTTAAAGCATATTTTATACCAGTGGAGAGAGGAAGAACTTGATAGTGTAAAAGAGAAAAGCACAAACTAGGAACAGTACAAAAATGGGGTCTTAGAGCACAGACATGACATCCATCAATTCATCCACTCTAATATATTATAGGCACAATGCAGGCAAACTGGTAGATTTGGTGGTAGAAGGATTAGGAGGTTCTACTTTAATCGCTTCTATTTTCTCAATGAAATAAAAAATTTGGCCATTTGTGGAAGCTAGAGAAAAAATCCTGTTTGTTCACTCAATTGTATTAGTTTACTTTATCAATATGATAATCAAAACTGATATTACAACTTGAACATTTTTGAAATGAGTATGTTCACTGACTACCTGCCTTCCAGGTGAGTCACCTCTACTTGCAGAAACTCTTCACTACTGTGGGTCAAATCCAGCTGGGAAACCACATTGTCTGACTCCTCCTGCCCTTGGCAGGTGTACCTCCTTTCTGCCGGAGGCTCCTCCAGTGACCTACGGAATGACATAAGAGGACTGTTAAAAGCCTTTTAACTGTGCAAAAAAAGAAAAAAAGCACAACCAGTTCATATTTGTCAACTGTTTTTGGTAATGAAACTCTTTCAAACTCTTCCTGCTTTACAAAAAGAACACTGGGGGAGTGAAGAGATAAGAGATGATGCTTCTCAAAACTCCTTTTGCAACTGGGGTTGGGATTTGCAACTGTTTTTCAATGGAAAAAGACAGAATTACAAATATCACTTTGTTGACATTCGATACCTTGAGTCAAAGAAACTGAAAGATTACAAGAGGGTTCAAGCACAGAAAGAAATGTGCACTAGACTTAAATTAAGCAAAAGGAGCACAGCTCCTTGTTACTTTCTACTACAACCCCAATCACATTAATTCATATATAGAAATAAAACTAGTTTTCTGAATCTTTCTAAAAGGGCTACCTCAATAGCGGGCTTACTGATGATACTGACAACAAGCAGCTCATAATCATGGCCTATTATACCAAGAAAGGGAGGCCTTCCAGGAGACCTGGACTACTTCCTTTCAGACTTGGAGTTTCACCAAGGGTACAGAATGACCAAGGGGTTTCTAAATTTCTAAGCATTAGGGCCTCCGGGACCCAAACTGGATGCAGAAAAATACTAACCACACAAAATTGTGTAACACTATACAAGTTTAATCCAGAAATTAAAACTGAGTAAGAAAATCCATAATATGATCAAAACCAAAATTATGAATACACAATATTAAAAATGGTGTTTAATGACAAACTACCGAGTGGTTAAGATTAAGCATACCTTATGGCCTCTACTATGTGCTGAGAGTCTGTTGCCTTTGATTTTGCTTAAAGCATTTCTATTTGTACTCTTGTCTCATGAATGAAATTTTCTGGTGACTGAAGAGCTGACTTCAATTTTCTCTTTTCTTCCTGAAAAACCTGCAAAATACTCAGAAAAGGTCAGATGTTATCATAATCTTCTTCACAAGGAAAGGAAACCAGGGATTCAGACTGTTAATTACTTAACAGGCACAAAATTAATAAGGCTATCAATAGGTGATCCATTGGCTATAGAGTAGGGAAAAAAACATTTCTTTTTAGGTTTAGAACGTAGTTCTAGGTTAATTATTCTCTCTTAAAACACACATACACACATTTCCCCAATTAGGTAATTTTAAAACACACCTCTTAAAGTTTTTCAGATTCCCTCAATTTTTCTTTTTGCCACTGTTCCTGCATAACAGTCATATTAGTTCCAACCAAGTCACTGACCCTCATGGTGAGGCACTCTATCTCCAACTCATTGGCACAGATAGTATCATGCACCTGCTCCAGCTTACTGCTCAGACACTGAATTTCTGACTGGCTTGACAGGCCCAGACTCTAATTTCTGTTTCCAATTGGCAAGGTGAGCCTAAAAACACACAGAATACAAAAAAGGAAAAGTCAAATAATAATCAATGGGATTGGATTAAAGATGGTGGTGAGAGAGGAGAGACAGAGCTTCCTCCTAAAACTGGATACAATTAGAAAATTTAAGTGGCGTAACTAATCCTGAGAGAGAAACAGGAAAGAGGACAGCATCAGACTGCACACACCTGGAGAAAACAGCAGACCTCAATGATGGGGTAATGTACCAGACCATGACCTGGCAGGACCTGAGCCCTTCCCCCACACCAGCTCACCAGTGGGAGGAAGAGAAATGGAGCAGGGATGGAGTGGAAGACCTGGGACTGCTGAATACCAAGCTCCGGGGTCCTGCACTGGGAGCACAAACCTACATTTCATGGTGCTTTTGTGAGACTTGCATGACTACCAGGCTGGAAAGCTAATACAGCCAGAGTTCCTGGGGAGACTGTGATTCTGGCTGCTTGTGGAAAGCAGGGATCCATATCTGGCTGCTCTGGGACAAAAACTTATACCTGTGTGCCCAGCCCACTGGCTCAGGCAGTGGAGACAGGCACAGCAGCTGGGAGGTGGGGAACAGCTCTTTCCTCCCCCCAGGCACCAGTACTGCTCCCCTGCGACCCCCAACATTGCTTCAGGGGCTGAGCAGCTCCAGAATAGAGCTTCTGGACACGAGAGGGTGCCATATACAAACATGAAATGCCAAAGGAACCTTGTCCAGAGTAAAATTATTAACACAACTCCCAAGAAAGATTTAAATGATATGGACCTCATGACTCTTCCTGAAAGGGAGTTCAAAATAAAAATCATCAACATCCTAAAGGAGGTGAGGAAAGACATCCAAGAACTCAGGAATGAATTCAGGTCAGAGATCCAATCATTGAAGAGCATGATGGAGGGTATTAAAAGCAGGTTGGATATGGTGGAGGAGACAATAAATGAAATAGAAACTAGAGAAGAGGAATACAAAGGAGCTGAGGCACAGAGAGAAAAGAGGATCTCTAAGAATGAAAGAATATTGAGAGAGCTGTGTGACCAATCCAAGTGGAACAATATTCGCATTATAGGGATACCAGAAGAAGAAGAAGAGAGAGAGAGAGAGAGGGATAGAAAGTGTCATTGAGGAAGACATTGCTGAAAACTTCCCCAATCTGGGGAAGGAGATAGTCTCTCAGGACATGGAGATACACAGATCCCCCTACACAAGGGACCCAAGGAAGACAGCACCAAGACACATAGTAATTAAAATGGGAAAGATCAAGGATAAGGAAAGAGTGCTAAAAGCAACCAGAGGCAGAAATAAGATCACATATAAAGGGAAGCCCATCAGGCTAACATCAGACCTCTGAGCAGAAACCTTACAGGCCAGAAGTGGGTGGCATGCTGTATTTAATGCCATGAAGCAGAAGGGCCTGGAATGAAGATTACTTTATCCAGCAAGATTATCATTGAAATTAGAAGGAGGGATTAAACAATTTCCAGATAAGCAAAAGCTGAGAGAATTTACCTCCCACAAACCATCTCTACAGGCTATTTTGGAGGGACTGCTATAGATGGAAGTGTTCCTAAGGTTGAATAGCTGTCACCAGAGGTAACAAAACCACAGTGAAGAAAATAGAACAGCTAGTTACGAAGCAAATGCAAAAGAAAATTAACTACCCTCAAAGTCAATCAAGGGATAGACAAAAAGTACAGGATTTGATACGTAATACACGAAGAATGAAGGAGGAAGAAAAAGGAGGAGAAATAGAAAAGAACCTTTAGGTTGTGTTTGTAACAGCATACTAAGTGAGTTAAATTAGACTCTTAGATAGTAAGGAAAGTGACCTGGAACCTTTGGTGACCACAAATCTGAAGCCTGAAATGGTGATAAGTACATACCTATCGATAATCACCCTAATGTAAATGGACTGAATGCACCAATCAAAAGACATAGAGTCACTGAATGGATAAAAAAAACAAGACCCATTTATACGCTGCTTACAAGAGACTCACCTCAAACCCAAAGACATGCACAGACTAAAAGTCAAGGGATGGAAAAGATATTTGATGCAAACAATAGGGAGAAAAAAACAGTTGTTGCAGTACTAGTATCAGACAAAACAGACTTCAAAACAATGAAAGTAATAAGAGATAAAGAAGGACATTACATAATGATAAAGGGCTTAGTCCAACAAGAGGTTATAACATTATAAATATATATGCACCAACACAGGAGCACCAGCATATGTGAAACAAATACTAACAGAACTAAAGGAGAAAATAGAATGCAATGCATTCATTTAAGGAGACTTCAACACATCATTCACTCCAAAAGACAGAGCCACCAGACAGAAAATAAGTAAGGACACAGAGGCACTGAACAACACACTAGAACAGAAGGACCTAATAGACATCTATAGAACTCCACACCCAGAAGCAACAGGATACACATTCTTCTCAAGTGGACATGGAACATTCTCCAGAATAGACCACATACTAGGCCACAAAAAGAGCCTCAGTAAATTCAAAAGAATGAAATTCTACCAACCAACTTTTCAGACCACAAAGGTATAAAACTAGACGTAAATTGTAAAAAGAAAGCAAAGAGGCTCACAAACACATGGAGGCTTAACAACACGCTCCTAGTGAATGGATCAATGACCAAATTAAAATGGAGATCCAGCAATATGTGGAAATAAATGACAACAGCAACACAAAGCCCCAACTTCTGTGGGACGCAGCGAAAGCAGTCCTGAGAGGAAAGTATATAGCGATCCAGGCACACTTGAAGAAGGAAGAACAATCCCAAATGAATAGTCTAACATCAAACTATCAAAATTGGAAAAAGAAGAACAAATGAGGCCTAAAGTCAGTAGAAGGAGGGACATAATAAAGATCAGAGAAGCAATAAGGAAAATTGAGAAGAATAAAACAGTAGAAAAAAAATCAATGAAACCAACAGCTGGTTCTTTGAGAAAAAAAACGAAATATAGATAAGCCTCTAGCCAGACTTATTAAGAGAAAAAGAGAATCAACACACATAAACAGAATCAGAAACGAGAAAGGAAATATCACGACGCACCCCACAGAAATACAAAGAATTATTAGAGACTACTATAAAAACCTATATGCTAAGAAGCTGGAAAACCTAGAAGAATTGGAAAAATTCCTAGAAAAGTACAAGCTTCCAAGACTGACCAAGGAACAAACACAAAATGTAAACAAACCAATTACCAGCAAAGAAATTGAAGTGGTAATCAAAAATCTACCCAGGAAAAAAAACCCCGGGCAAGGTGGATTTAACTCGGAATTTTATTAGACATACAGAGAAGATATAATATCCATTCTCCTTAAAGTTTTCGACAAAAATAGAAGAGGAGGGAATACTCCCAAACTCATTCTATGAAGCCGACATCACCCTAATACCAAAACCAGATCCAATAAAGGGTTGACATCCAAAATATATAAAGAGCTCACACACCTCAACAAACAAAAAGTGAACAATCCAATTAAAAAATGGGGAGAGGAGCTGAACAGACAGTTCTCCAAAGAAGAAATTCAAATGGCCAACAGACACATGAAAAGATGCTCCACATCGCTTGTCATCAGAAAAATGCAAATTAAAACCACAATGAGATATCACCTCACACCAGTAAGGATCACTACCATCCAAAAGACAAACAACAACAAATGTTGGTGAGGTTGCAGAGAAAGGGGAACCCTCCTACACTGCTGGTGGGAATGCAAATTAGTTCAACCATTGTGGAAAGCAGTATGGAGATTCCTCAAAAAGCTCAAAATAGAAATACCATTTGACCCAGGAATTCCACTTCTAGGAATTTACCCTAAGAATGCAGCACTCCAGTTTGAAAAAGACAGGTGCACCCCTATGTTTATCACAGCACTATTTACCATAGCCAAGAAATGGAAGCAACCTAAATGTCCATCAGTAGATGAATGGATAAAGAAGATGTGGTACATATACACAATGAAATATTACTCAGCCATAAGAAAAAAACAGATCCTACCATTTGCAACAACATGGATGGAGCTAGAGGGTATTATGCTCAGTGACATAAGCCAGGTGGAGAAAGACAAGTACCAAATGATTTCACTCATATGTGGAGTATAAGAACAAAGAAAAACTGAAGGAACAAAACAGCAGCAGAATCACAGAACCCAAGAATGGACTATAGGTTACCAAAGGGAAAGGGACTGGGCAGGAGAAGTGGGAAGGGAGGGATAAGGGCAGGGAAAAAGAAAGGGGGCCTTATGATTAGCATGTATAATGTGGGGGGAGCATAGGGAGGGATGTGCAACACAGGGAAGACAAGTAGTGAGTCTACAGCATCTTACTACTCTGATGGACAGTGACTGTAATGGGGTGGGGGGGGACTTGGTGAAGGGGTAGTCTAGTAACCTTAATGTTCTTCATGTAATTGTAGATTAATGATAATAAAATGAGTTTTAAAAAAAAGAAAAATAGGAGTTTTCAGGCTTAGCTAAAAATGAGAATATTTTAAGAAAAATACAGCAAGCACTTAGCAATTTGTTACATCAACATTAAATCAAATGTGTTGAATAGTCATAAATAAATAAAGTCACATTTTATTATAGATTTTCCATTGAATAACTTTTTAGTAATCTTTTACATACATGTATGTTTTACTGTGCTGTCATCAGGCTCAGAAGATTTGTCTCTTGTTTCTGACTTACAGTGTGAGTTTAGACACTTTAGCCTCCTTCGGCCCCAATATTTCCATCTGTAGATAGAACAAGATTATCTCTGATTTTTCTTCTGTCTGTACCTCAGTGTTTGACACATTGAAATCACATACTAAGTGCCAAATAAATGAGCATTTGAAGGTATTTAGAAATGGGTAAAACTGAAATAAATGGATATAAACACCAGTGTTTAGTAATAAAACAATAGCTTTAAAATATATTTTCTGTATCAAAAGGCTAGTAGGAAAAGAAACCCTTTTAGACAGTGTATTTGTAGTGTTCAGTTTGAACAAAAGATTTCCTAAAACAGAAATTGGAGGAAATTAAATAGTTGTTTTTGTGTGTTGTATTGCAAAGATGGTATTTCTGAATGGTAGCTTATCTAGTAAGTTGGCTGCCTTGGTGAAACAATCTAGGCAATTGTTTAGCATTTATTGAATGAAGCTGTGTGTAGGATGTAATGGTAAATAAATGTGATGAAGATAGGGATTGTCATGGCAGCTCCTAGAAGGAAAAATAAGGTAAGTTGCTGTAATCTTAAGAATTAGAATTTATAACCAGTTAAATTTTAAACAGAGGGAGAGAGTATATTAAACACAGAAATCAGAACTATCTCCAATGTTTGAACTGGTGATAAAGAAATCGGAAATGAGAACCGAATGATGCAGGGGCTGAGGTTGGAAGTTGGTGGGGAAGAAGTAAAATACAATGATTTTAATCATAGAAGTTGTAGTTTGAGAGACAAAAATACATGTTAAAGGACCTGAGAGCAAATTAAAGTAGAAAATTCTAGAAAATTTCTACATTCAAACTACAATTGAAAATAAACTGTGTTTGAGGTGATTGGGGTGGATCTGTCAGATAAATGCCAATCTGACTTTTAAAAGTGGGAGGAAGATGTGCTCTGTCGTCCAGGGGATGGTATATGAAGAGACAGGAGGCAGAGCAAATGGCACATGGCAGACAGTAAAGCTTTACAATTTAGAAGCAAACATTTTTATTAGTAGAAATGAATGGTGAGATGAGAGGAATATGGTACCCCTGAGGGTCTTACATTTGAAAGGGGATTTATACTTAGGAAGGGTGACAAACTGGGAACTGTTTAAAGAAGGTGATTCTGGCAGCTGTGTATGAGATGTGTGGTAAATAAGTGTGGTGAAGACAGAGATTGTCACAGCAGCTCCTAGAGGGAAAAAATTAAGTAAGTTGGCATAATCTTTAGAATTAGAATTTGTAACCAGTTAAATTTTAAACAGAGGGAAAGAGTATCATTAAACACAAATCAAAGCATCAAGAAGCTAGGTTAGATAATTCAATTTGTGGGATTCAGCATTTTTGTCTTGTTTTAAATGTGTGATCTTATTTTTGTCATAACAGCTCAGAGTCTGTGAGTGCAACATGTAAACAGCTGAGCCAAGAATTAATGGAAAAATATGTAGAACTGAAGAAAATGGAAGTACATAACAATGAGTACAGGGCAGAGATTCAAAACGTAAAATCTACATGAAAAGTTGTATGAATTTATGGACTGAGCTATGGCTGGGAGATTATAGGAGTTATTTTTAATGAGGAAAATATTCCCCCAAAGTCACTTGGTATTCAGGAGGAGACAAGCACCTGGAATGTGCTTAGAAAAATTATTTCTTTGTCATCCTCAGGGAATCCATATTAGTATTTTCAAGATAATCAAAGGCTGCCCTTTTGAACCCTAAAACTTTATTATAAACATGTTTTGATGAAAAGCTTTCTAAAAGACACACACATTTCTTTGCTTGCAAAAAGATATTATATGAGTTGGCATTCAGTATTTTCTCATTTCCTTATAGGTAAAGGTAGTTAATGGGCATGGACTTGCTTCTGTGCCACGGCAGAGGTCATCACTCATTACTCATTGGCTGTTGGGGTGAGCAGAACTGTTTGTCTCTGCAGTTATGGGCCCTGGCTGTCATGTTGCAGATTCATATTTTGTATTATTTCTGAGATTTCTTCTAGCCTCTTCCTCTTGTCTTTCTGTTATCTCCTGTGGATCAGGAAACCATATAAGAAAGGTTTTTTAGATTTGCAGCTAAAAACAGAATGAAGGTCACAGGTGCTATCCTATATAAATAATGTGTGCATGGACTTCATTACTGGTTCTCAGCATTTGAATACTCATCTCTCCCTGTTTTGAGATCTAATAAATGACTGTGGGTCTGATCACTTGACCTTCAGTATAGAAATACATCTTGGTAAGTTGCTAATTCTCTGCAGAATTAATTGAGGAAAAAAATTCATGTCTTGATGTAAGGTCAAAATTACCTTATTATTTTGACTATTAATGCATTCATCTGTCTACATGATTTCCCTTAATTTTTCATGCATTACTTTATGTTTCTTTGTAGCTGAAAGAACAGATTTTCAGGCTGAACAAAGTTACAGTTCTGTACTAGAAGGAATGAAGATGGAAATTTCCCAGCTAACTCGGGAGTTACATCAGTGAGATATTGTGATCGCTTCTGCCAAAAGTTCTTCCTCTGACATGGAAAAGAGACTCAAAGCAGAGATACAAAAGGCAGAAGAAAAGCAGTAGAGCATGAGGTGAAACTTGAACAAAAACTCTTTGAAGTTTGTGAAGACTGAACTTACTAAAGATATCATTTCCATAGTATTTAATTCAGTCCGTTTTTATTAGTCCCTTGTCTTGGGCTGAGGGTGTGCTGGCTAACAAGCTTCGTAGTGAGGAATGGTGTGGAGGCGAGAGCAGATACAGACAATGAAAGAGGCCATTTCTGTGGTGTGCAGTCAGAGTGCGATGTGCTTGCTGTGACAATAGGGCGCGAATGGGCTGAGCAGCAAAGGATGAATGGGAAGTAGGGACCAGCTCCTGAAGGGCCCTGCCAGCTGCGCGGAGGAGCGTTAGTGTCATCTTGAGGTCCAGAGAGAACAGGTTTATTAAGCAGGAGTGAAAGGTCTCTGTGGTTGTCCTGTGGAGAATAAGCACAGAGGCAGAGAGACCACTCAGATGCTATTACAGCATTCAGGTGTTGGCCTGATGGAGAAAGACAAGTGCTAAATGATTTCCCTTATCTGTGGAGTATAACAACAAAGTAAAACTGAAGGAACAAAACAGCAGCAGACTCAGACTCCAAGAAGGTAGTAGTGGTTACCAAAGGGAAAGGGGTTGGGGAGGGAGGGAGAAGGGGATTAAGGGGCGTTATGATTAGCACACATAATGTAGGGGGGTCACAGGGAAGGCCATATAGCATGGAGAAGACAAGTAGTGACTCTATAGCATCTTACTACACTGATGGACAGTGACTGCAATGGGGTATGTGGGAGGGACTTAATAATAGGGGGGAATCTATTAACTACAATGTTGCTCATATGAAACCTTCATAATATTGTATATCAATGATACCTCAAATAAAAAGAAGATGTTGACCTGAGCAATGGGCAAGGGAGGTAGATGGAAATGGATGCATCCTGGAGCTGTTGGGCTGGTACAACCAACTGGGCTTTGTATTGGGTTGGACAGGAAGGGTGAATTAGACAGTTAGGAAAGATGTCACTCAGGATTCCAGCTTAGGCAGGTGAGTAGAAATAGAGAAAAGATAGAGGGCAGGTTTGAGGAGGATAATAATTTTGTATGAAATACACAAAATAGGGAAGCTGGTGGGAAAGGGGACATTGGTTTGAGATAAAGACTGGACTTTCATATGGAAATATCTAATAGTCAATTCCACAGAAGACCTGGAGTTCAAGATTAAAATCTGGGTAAGATATTTAGCTGTGGAAGTGTCTGCACGAAGTTGCATTTGAACCGCCTTGAGAGACTTAGAGATTATAGTGAGACAGCACAGAGTGTGAGGAGGGGTGGCTTGAATGGAACAGGAACTACCTCATTTCATGTAAAGGATGTTAGAATGGAGCTAAAAAAAAGCTCAAAAAGAAAAGAAACTGGATAGTTTTAAAAAAGGAAGCAGGAAGCCAAGGAAGGCAGGAGTCTTCTCATGTAGGAAAGGGCAAGCAGAAAAGCTAAGGAGAATGGGGACTCAAAATAAGTGCCTACCATGTGAAAGGAGAGCAGCCCATGTGGAGGAGGTGAACTGAGTTAGAGGAAGACAGTACAGGAGAGCGGGCAAGGGTCTCCAGTGAACTCGCTCGTCTTCTTAGAATGTTTTAGTTACATGCACATTAATTCATCTTGAAACAGCCTAAAAAATCCTTTCAGAAAGTGTGTGTGTGTGTGTGTGTGTGTGTGTGTATGAAGAAGGCAACTTCGTCTACTGAAAATCACTTTTCTGTGGAAAAATTTGCAAGATATTTTTATTGTGTTTGTTATATTTATTTGTTTTTTCTCCTTTTCCCTTCTCGGGAGGTTTTAGATCAGATGGAGTCACTCAAGTTAGAAAATCGTCATCTTTCTGAAACGGTGATGAAATTGGAATTAGGTTTACATGAGGTAGATAAATAGAAACTTTAAGTTTTTCTACTAGCCAAACCTTTAACAGATATCACTTTGTAATACTGAGATTATAAAGAGTGTTAAGCTCAAATTATGAAATGATCCTTTTGTAGAAACTTTTTCAAATAAAAGGAAGTTAAGACTGATGGGAATGAGCAAAATATGACTTTCCCCTCCAGCAACTGGAAGATTGTTTTTTATATTATGAATATGATGAATATATGCACAGTCTGTGTTCTTAATAGGGAGAATGTATATAAAGTGCTTAGCATAGTGCCTGACATTTAGCAAGTACACAGTAAATGTTAGATGCTGTTGTTATTATTGTTATAATTAACATGTTCATAGTATCTTTTCATTATGAAGTATATCATCTTTTAAATAATTTAGTCTTAGTTATACTTCTACAAGATATAATACATTTAATCAGATATTCTATAATCTTTTATGTTCAAAACATTTTAGTAGATGAAGTAATGTAAAATAGGATTCTTGCTTTTAAGAGATTGAGAGTAATATAGTAGGGAGGGTAAGAAATGGATGTCGGGTCCTGTGAAACCAGAACATGATAAGCTAGCTAATGGTGACTTTTAAATAGTGTGGACACTCTTTTAACTATTTTGTTACAAAAGTCCTAACCATCTATTCTCACTCATCTTTTCTTGATCTAAGTCAAGTACCCACAGATTTTAGAAATTATTTTTTTTCTACACATCCACAGAATATGTGCCTCCAAAGACTCATAGTTATGCAGTGCCCCTATTTGCTCCCAAGTAGTTTTAGTTACACAGTCATGGATTATAGAGGCTGGGGTGGGAAAAAGTGCAAAACACTACATTAATGCTTTATTTCAACTAAAAGAAAATATAGGAGACTATGTTTATAATGTTTTGGGAAGTTAAGATTCTCTTAGTATCAGGAAAACAAAGAATTTTACAACATAAAAACATTAATTTCTGGATGGAAAAAGACCCCATAAAAAAAGACTAATATACTGGGGAGAGCCAATTAATAAATTGATAAAAGGCTAATATAAAATATTAATATGTAAGAATTTCTTCTTACAAAGATAGTAAAAATTGGAATCCAGGACAAAAAATATAGATAATTTCTAGAAGTAATATACAAATCCAATAAACAAAAAAAGCTGTTCAAACTCTCTAATAATCAAAACAAATAAATGTTCTTTTGCTAATTGGCTTGACAATTATTTTAAAAAACTAATATAGCTATTGTTGGCAAGGATATAGAGCAGTAGTTCTGTTATGTTCTGTTAATGACAAAGTGAATTGATACAGCCATTCCAGAGGAAAACTTAGCACTATCCATTAAACTTGTCAGTATATATAGCCTATACACTCCTGGGTCATGTGCATTTCTGGTTTTGATAGTCACTGCTGAATAGTTCTCCAGAAATGTCATTGCAGAATGTAAGAATCCACTCTATGGGAGTAAATGTGCAAAAAATATTCACTTCAGTGTTGTTTGCAATATTCAAAATTTTGAAATAAAGTAAATGTTAGAGTGGGATGGTTAATTTGTGGCTTTCTGTGCTTTAAGTATTAGGCTGTCATTGAAGATTCCACATGAAAATATGCATTAAACCTTGCTCCCTTCCCAAATCCCTTTAAAATTATTATAAGATATTTTTTGAAGGCACAGTCAACAAGTATAGGAAAAATAGGAGAGGAGACAACAGCTAAACATTTTGTAAGAGGGAAATGGATGGATGGATGGAAGGAAGGAAGGAAAATGACTTTATATGCTCTAATAAAGCCAGGACTAAGCTAGTAGTAAAAAAATACAAGAACAACCTGATCCTCAACACAGATTCTTCAAAAGTCTCAGGATTTGGCCATACCTGAGAGACAGAATCTTACCTTATGTAGTGATTACCTGTTATATTTAAGAATTGGGAACTCTTGCCAGACTATGACTAGATATTCTACACTTAATGCTCCTGAAACTTCATCTGCCAGTGATAGTGTTGTCCCTTCTTTACACAGCCAAGCGTTCAGTTTTATTATTACCTTTCATACTCATTTTTCGGTAATTGTTGTAAATAATATAATAAATTTGAGAAAATGCTAAGATACCTGGCAAAGGCAAGCATTATCTTCTTTTTTTTTTAGGGTATTTAATGACATCAGACACCAAATTTGGGTGATGTAAATCCTGTCAACAGTTTAAGTTTCTCTGGTTTTGAAGTTATACACAGGGCGAACATGTTGTACATAATAAGAATAATTATTAGAAAGTGCCTTTTTGTGATTTACCACCTTGGAAGGTGGAATTAGTTTAATAAATGAATATTTGGGTTAAATAAGTGTTTTAATAAAATTATCTAATTATCTTAATAATGAAAGTAATAAATTACCACATTTTAAAAAACTGACAGTAGTTTGTAGTTTAACTCCTATGTACTGTATTCTTTTGGAATTTCATCTGCTATTGACAAATTATGGAAAGATTTTGTAATTTATTTGTTATTACTAGTACATGGATAGTTAAAAGGTTGTACTTTAAAGTTTGTTTTGGCAGGTAAATTTTATCAGACTACTCTTGACCAGCTCATTTTCAGAAAATTCTTTAAAGAAAAGAACAAGCTAAACATCATCTTCAACTCCAGAGAAGATTACCATCATTTTTTAGAATGCTAACAAAAACATTTTATCATTAGAAAAAAAGTGGTCCACACTACTGTTTTTCCAGGTACTGTATTACCAGGAAACACCTAGACTTAAGAGCAGTAAGATTTATGATCACAGAACTCAGACCAGATCAGAGTAGTCATTCCTTCCTTATACCAGAATGCTACTTTATCATGTCCAAATTGATTGCACATCCCAGAACAGGTGCTATTACATAATATCTATAATACCAGAGAGTACTTAGTGGAAAGTTGTCCTCACCAGCCAGAATTCCCTTTCAGAACTTTCTGTTCAAATTCCTTTGAACTAGGTCTCTTGATTTCCTTCCACAGGATTGTGAAACCTATCAAACTTATCTTTCTTGAAGAATCCACTCCTATAAAAAGACTTCTGCTCTTTTCTTCCATTTCCCTGTTTCGGATTCCCACTTGTAGCTTTCCTTGTCCACTTTTAACCTTCTTCCAGGGCCTTGGCTAGTCCTTGGCATGTCAGGGAAGCCCATTGTGCTCCTTGTTTTCCATCCTTACTTATACTGTAAGAAACAGAGCCATTTTTCTCTCTTAGGGGGCCAAGAACAAATCTTCACTTTTTCTAAAGTAAAGCCATAGATGAACTAGTTACAGCTAAAAAAATGTGATTTTCTACCAGCAGTGTCCAAGATCACAGGTATTCTTATACAAATATAGTGACTCGTATTCTTTTTTATTAGGCAAAAGAGATAGCAGACCTCCAGGAGAATTATACTGAGGCATTAAATAAATTAGTGTCTGAAAATCAACAACTACAGGAAGATGTGGTAGATACCAAATCTAAGCTGAAGGTTTCTACTCAGATGAGCAAAAAAAAAACCATGACAGGATCTTTAAACCAACACACAGCAGAGCACCTGAGTTCAAGAATACAGAGTTGAAGTAGCATTTCTTCACAGTTTATTTAAAATGTGTATCATATATGTATATATAATTCTCATTTCTGACTTACAGAAATCTCCATCTAAGGACTCTGTATTTAATTCTGAAGTA